GAGAGGGCGCGGGCGCGGGAGAGGGCGCTGCCTCGCCGCCCGGGCCGCTGGGCGCCGCGTTTCGCTGACTCTGCCAAACACGCCATTAGGGCCCGCCCGGGAGGGCGCTACCCTAATGAGGCGGCTCTAAGTCACCTTTGAAAGGAAATCCCCGCCGGCCGAGCCCTGACCTGCACCGGCACCGGCTGCCGCTTCCAGAGCCTCCTGCCCGGTGCACTTGAAGCGCCGCTCCTGGACTTCAGGACTCTTCTCCCGATGGCCCAGTGTTGCCTGGTCCCCACGATCTCTAGGGGGTTCCCGAGAGGGCTCAAGCAGACCTCTTCCTAAAAGCCACTAGCAAATACAAAAATCTCAGTGCTGTCAACACAGAGTGGTTCAGGAAAAGGAGATAGCAAGGGGTCTCCGGGTTGGGTTCTGCAAAATGTGAGAACAGGACAAGTTTTGGCTTTGGTCTCCCTCATTACGTGGCTGGGTTTTGGGGGTTGTCCCTCTATAGAAGGGAGCAGGGTGGGGTGTTGGGGTCAGAACCCCCACCCCCGGTTATGGCCCCTCCAGAACTTGAAACATGTCCGCTGAGCATCAAACTAACAATCCTCTTTGGCTTGAAATGGAAGTCTTAACATCTCTGTTCCTTCTAGAAGCCTGGCTCCTGCCCTATGGGGAAGGGGGAGAGGGAGAGAAGGAGGCTGGGACACAGGGAGCTGCCTGCTGCTGTCAGGGAGTTGGACCTGAGAACCCTGCCTATTTTTAGCCTGGCCTGTCCTGCCCAGCCAACAGCCGCAGGGTTTGGCTGTAGGTCTCAGGAGTGTTTACACCAGCATCTGCCCGGTAGCCCTTTGCACTATGGGCTACCCGGTTGGGGGCAGTGCCCTAATTTGAGATTTCATCATTAATAGATGCCGCTCACATGGAGGCCTGTGCTCTGGGGCCCCTCCCCACACTGCAGTGTACTGCTCCCACCTTACAGCATTGCCCCTGAGGGCGCCCACCTTCTCCTTGGAATGGCCTGTGTCTCACAGGCTGCATTCCAGTACCAGCACTACCACTCACAGGCCATGTGACTTTGGACTAGCCACTTCCCCTACATCTTCCCACCGGTGTCATTCAGGTAATGAGAGTTCTCATAGGGCTGTTGTGAGGATGACGTGCATGTAAGGTGCCCAACATATAGTAAGTGGTCTCCAAATGGTAGCTGTCATTCTTACCTCATTTTAAGGGTGAGGAAAGGGACAGATGCAGTGACAAGTCAGTGATGGAGCTGGGTAGGGGTCACACGGCCACACCGTCACCCCACCCTCACCCCACCCATATGACCACCACGTGTCTGTGAGCTGAGGCCAAGCAGAAGAGCAGCTGTCAGCCTGCAGGGGAGATGCTCTCAATGACCGTGATGAGCACACCTGGACCCAGGGGACCAAGACCTCTGTTGAGGCTCCTGGAAAAATTCTTTGAGCTCAAGCCCTAAGCTGGGCCTTTGCATCAGTGTCTCTGTGGCATCAGTGGGAGAGAACTGGTGGCAGTGGAAGTGGTCAAAAGTTGGTGGCCAGGAGCATTCAGCAGTCTTTGGGAGCAGTGAGGTAACCCTGTCAGGGATGGAGAGGGAGGCAGAGGTCTGCCATTTTTGCAGACATTGAAAGAAATGTTGTGTTGCAACAGTATGCTTCATACTGTTCTGAGATGAGGATGATTAAACTTGTAAAGAGGGCTTTCTGCTTCTGCTCAGCGGGCTGTGAATATGCTGCCCAGCACAGGCAGCAGCTGGTTCTTGAGACCCTGCTATGTGCAATGTCATATGATGACATGAAAGAGTAAGCATAGGGGAGAGGCACCTGTCCTCCTAGAGGGCAGGGCTCAAGAAGGCTACTAGGTGGAGGTGACACCAAACAGTGTCCTTAGGGATGAATGAGTAGGAACGAAGCACAGCAGAAGGGTGAGGGCTTTCCAAGCAGAGGGGTAAGGGGTCTGGAAGGAATGCTGTAGGAGAGAGAGAAAAATGGCGTGTTTCAGGCAGGGCAGGCCGGTTGGTGCTGTGGTGCAGGGAGAAGAGGTCAGAGGGAAGCTGAAAAACAGCCAGGGCCAGTCTGCTGGCCTGGGGCTTCTGCCGCCTGTCTAAGCAGCGACTGATCACTGTCAGCAGGGATGGGAGAGAAGGGAGTATCCACAAGGGAGAGGTACAGCTTTGACAGTTACCATGGGCATGATGAAAACCACTGTTACCAGAGATTGGTCTTCTGGAGAAGATGCTAGCAAGGGTGGTGTTGGCGTGAAAAGATAGTCAAGCACCGCATGCCTGTGCTCTGTAGGCAAAGGAGGATCTGGGCATGTGGAGAAGAGTGCCCCAGCAAGGTGGGGGGCCGGGCTCAGATGGAGAGGACGGGCAGGTGGGAGGTGGAGCCTCCACTCCAGCTGAAGGGCCAGGGCCCAGCTCAGTCTTCAGACTCAGGTGAGACCTCTCTGGGTGCCTGGGTCATGGAGTTCATAGGGCATCTGTGAGACAAGCTGCACTGCCAGATTTATGCTCATTACTGAAAATTTAGAAAATGCAAGAACTATATAAAGAAAAAAATAAAACCACCCTAATCTCATCATCTCACCATCTAGAGATAACCATTTTTAAACATTCTGTCATTTCTTACTACTACAATATATGTAGTGAATGAATATATGCAATTAAATATTTAAAAAATAAAACTGGGATCACACCATACAAAGTTTGGTATCACGACTTTTTTTCACTCAACACATGTAATGAATAGTTTCCTAAAAACTCTTCAAAACCCTATTTAAAAGGCTGCCTAATCACCCATTATATTGCTCTACCACCATCCCTTTTTCTAATTTCTTATTGTTAGACTTTGTTTTGCATCGTCCTCTTTTATAACGTGATGATAAATACCTTTGACCATGTATCTGGTTATTTCCTTAGAATAGATTCCTGGAAGTGGAATTACTGAGTCAAAGGTTACGACTATTTTAAGGTTTGAGATACATATAATGTCAAATTACTTTCCAGAAAGATTGCACCTATTTACAGTCTCATTAGCTCTGTATACCCATCTCCCCGTACACCATCACAATCGCTGAATACTGTCATTACATAAACCTTTGCCTTTATAATAATTGATACATGATAACTCATTGTAATTTTCATTTTTATTACCACTGAGATGGAACATTTTTTTTCCACAAATTTACTTGTGCATGTGCACACGTGTGTGTGTGTGTGTGTGTGTGTGTGTGATTTTTTTGGGGTTTATATCTTTAGTTCCTTTTTCTTACTGTAATGACACAAACATTTAAATAGGAATTAGAAAAAAGAATACTCTTCTGATTTACCTCAGATCTTTGGTGTTTCACAGCAAAGTCTGTGGCAAAGTCAGTGCCACACCTCTGGTCACTGTAAGCTCTTTGAGTGCCAAGTCATGGTCTTACTCATTTCTGAATCTCCACCCCCCTCACCCCCATACACTGTGCCTATGTGTGTTGCACACAGGAAGTGCTCAATACATGTTTGAATCAAATCGGACAGAATGAGTGCTCTGTGCAAGCTGAGATTTCTCTCTTTAGCCCAGAGGTATAACTGGGGACTTCCAGAGACATGTAACATTTGCTCTTCCGTGTCTTTCTTGCAGACTCCAGAGAACAGAGGGGAAGGAGGTCAAATGAGGACAAGAGGCTGTAAAAGCACCTTCCTCCACTGCTGATAGAGCCATCCAGAGCACGAACTCAGAGAGAGCTTGATTCTGAGACAATGCTGCTCAGTCTCATGCAGCCACTGCCCCTACCCCGTGCCCAGGAGCCGTGACTCCTTCTGTTAAAGTTTCCGTTCTCCACCTTTCTGGTGTATCCTTCCCTGACTGGCCGGAGCACGAATTCAGAGAGAGCTTGATTCTGAGACAATGCTGCTCAGTCTCATGCAGCCACTGCCCCTACCCCGTGCCCAGGAGCTGTGACTCCTTCTGTTAAAGTTTCCGTTCTCCACCTTTCTGGTGTATCCTTCCCTGACTGGCCCGTCAGCCATACCCTGCCTCAGTACTTCTGTTCATGACACCTTAATTGACTTTCCATATTTTTCTGTCCATAGCTTATGGAAGTCCCATGTTCTTGTGCATAATGACATGCAAATGCAGGAAGCGCTACACTCCAAATTTCAGGTACTTTGAATGTCGGTCTTTACACTCTATGGCATTCTTGGCCTTTTCCTGGGGAGGGAGATGATGAAAATCAATTCGTCTCTCACCACCATTTCTAAAATATCTTGGGCAATGCCAAGAGAGGTATCCAGTGGCACACGAAAGCACATGGAGAGATTACCCCTTCGCCTTTGCCAAGTGTTCATTACGGAACTACAAAATGCCCCTTGCATATTCCTCGATCCGCCTTTCTCTCTGATGTAAATGAGGTGTCCTCTGTGGTTCCTGCTCTGGGTCTGCTCGGTATCAGTCACCTACTTCTGTACACCATTCTGCATTTTTACTTCCATGAACTCAGGTGGTCTTCACAATAGCTTATCCCATTATGCCCACTTTATTGACAGAGAAACAAAGGTCAAGAAATCAGTTAACATGCTTCTCCCAGTGGCTTCTGCATGGGCCCAATCCTCCCACCGATCCTAACCCACTTGCCATTCTGCATGTTTTAGTGAAAAGGGCACAGGGGGCTTTTCCAGGAGCAGGCTGACATTTGGGCTGGCCACTTGCAGTACTCTGGGTGACATGAGTCCCCTGGGAGAGAACCCTATCCTGGGTGGCATGAGGTTGTCTAATGAGTTGGTGAGGAGGGACACAGACAAGGGCTTTGGAGTGCCTGAATGAAAACAGATGAACTTAGAACAGCTTTTTGAGCATTCCTGTACACCCCAGGGGACTGTTGGGAGCATACAGGTGCCCATCTGCCCCAAGCAGGACAGGCCCAGTGGCCTGAATCCCAGGGGCATGAGGGAGCCAGTTTTTAGTGTCAGTGCAGACTTCAGCCTTTCCTGTCCCTGGGGCAGAGCTTCTAATAGGAGCCATGAGTATTTTTAGTCTCACGTGTGCAGGCACAGGACACGGTGAGCTGGATGGGAACAGCTAATAAGCCATGGTCCTTATTAAGTTGGGAAGGATAAAATAAGGGAAGGAGAGGAAGCCCAGTGGAACTTTTTACATGCCTCCTTTTCAGAGAACTCTCTCTCCATAATTCATGGAGAAAGATTGAGGTCAGGGTGATTATGCACAGCCCCAGTTTCAGAAACCTGAAAGCGGGGCATGTTCATGTCCTGAGGCCTGTCCATCTCCTCCCCACAGGCCCCATCTCTGCCCTCTGGGTGAGGAGGTTGGGGAGGAGGACGTACGGCTTTGGGGCTTGGCTGTCAGGACTCTTGGGGTGAGGCTGGGGGCCCTTACAAGGACCGGACGAGAAGCCAGTTCCCAGTGTGATCCTTGCAGCCATAAGAGATGGTGGAGCAGCATCAACTTCTATCCTGAGTTCACAGATGAGGAACGGAGGTTCAGAGAGGTGCAGGGACTTCATAAGGTCACAGTGGGTGTTGGAGACTGAGGGCCGCCATTATTTCCCCAGTGACAGTGAGTTGTATCTAAGACTCTCTGTCCACTTCATTCAGCCCCCTAACATTCTTTCTGTGCCAACTCTGTGTCAGGATCTCTACCACTGAAATGTGGCAGTGAGGACCATACAATTCCTGCTCTCAGGGAGCTCTCAGTTTGATGAGGGCCCCACAGGTGACTCCCAGCCACACCACGGTGTGGCCAGTGTGCAAGCTTGCCTGTGCGGGAGGCGGCTGGCAGGTGGAGCTGGCAGGTGGAGCTGGCAGGTTTCCAGCCTTCTGTGTGGGGCGTGAGGACAGTCAAAGCTCCGTGAGAACAGTCCGTCCTCTTTCTGTGTGGCATCTTCTGAGGACGAGACTGGGGAGACGAGCGGGGGGCAAGTGTGCTCTCAGCCCTCTCAGGCCCCATGGCTCTGAGCACCGTGATGCATGGAGCCTGTGGCAAAACTCACTTCGCGAGGGCTTGGGCAGAGCTGCAGTGAGGTAGCACTGGGCCCTGCTGTTGCCAGCCTTGCCCTTCCTCGCCACCCCCATCTTCATGGTTTGAGAGCAATGGGAGACAGAATGAAAGCTTCGATCTGGGGTGGGAGCATTGCCTCAGCCCGCAGCCAGCCACGGCATGTGCCTGTGTTGTTTGCTTACCCGTCTCCTTGTCCATCCTCTTGCATACGTGAGTACCATGCTCCTTCACACCCATCCATCTGTCCACCTGTCCACTCACTCAGCCCTCTCTTCAGGCATCCCTTCATCTCTACCTAGACACCACTCTGCCAATCTCGTCCTTCTGTCCTTCCATCTAACACACTTCATTCACCCACCTGTTCACTATCCATCCATTCGTCCCCTACCCCCATCCAATTACAGTTCCTTCATTCCATCTGGAACCAGACACTATGTTCTAGGCCTTGTGTCTGGTGGTGTGGGGACACAGAGATGAATGTCACTCCCTTGTAGTCGACCTAGAAAATACTGTGCGTATCCGCTCATGAGGGGAACAATGAAATTGAAAGGCATCCTGAGAGGAGCAGCACAGGAGTTGGCTGAAGGAAAGCAGAGGACACCTGTCCGATGTGAATAAAACGTGAAGAGCAGAGTTAGGTTGAACACGCTTGCTGAGACAGAGCCTCGGAATGAGGGGTTGAAGCAAGCAGGTCTAGGGCAACTGCCAAGCATGCTACTTAACAGTTCACTTCTGGACTGCGCTGCCCAAAGCTGTATGTGGATGGAAACCACAAAGTCTATTGGCTCACATAGCGCCCAGTGAGAAGGGGGTAGTGGGGTATGCACAGCTGTTGGAGTCTGATGCCAGAGTGTGCCTGTTCAACATGGAATTGGAGCATCCCTTGGTGGCTGCACCAGATACAGAGTCCTATGGGAGATTCCTGGCCCTGGACTCTCTCTGGCCAGGATTTACCAGATACCCTTAGACCAGATGTGTAGGCATTCACACAGCCAGTTCAATGTTCAGCTTTGCTTTTCTGGTCCAGGATCTCTTCCTGGGGATGGGGGTGGAGTAGGAGGCAGAGCCCAGGAAGGATGGATCAGCTTCTCCTCCCATCTGCTAAGGCTCTAGCCAGGGCTCCATCAGCCCCAGACTCTGGCCCCTCTGGCACCCAGGATATGCACAGTTTTCTCCTGACACATCATTCCTGGTACTTTCTGGTTCCACACCCAGTGCTCGTTGCTTGATATGACCAAACTGTTCCTTGACCATTTTGGTGAATCTTTGAGGATTATTGATTGACAACCTCTGTCCCAAGGCTGGAGTATTGCCAGATGGTTAGGTAGGTGGTTCAAGCAACCAAAGGCTCTAGTGACATCTCAAGAAGGGCTTGGGTGGGGTGAGACAGAGCTGCAGGCTACCAGGCAGATGCATTCTACCAGCTGCAGAGCCTGTTGAGTGGGGGACATAGCAAAGGCTGGGTAAGGGTGTCGCTGCTAATTAGAGAGTCTACAATTGCACAGGTCTCCTTCACTTGAACCCTGCTGCTTCCCATATACCCGTGTGTCTTCTATTCTCTGAAGTCGGTCTGTCTGTCTTTGAGAAGCCTATCTGGCTTTGCCTTTGCCTACTTGGAGAGCAGAGTTTGGGGGAGAGGGAGTTTAGTGCACATGTGCTGGTGCTGGGTCCACAGTGGGGATACCCCACTGGCGTGCAGGGCCCCAGCATGGCTAGGAAGGAGGTCGTGGGAATGGGGAGAGTGGCTGCTGCAGGCCTGAGTCACCTCAGCCGTCCTTCCTCCCCTGCTCTCCCCTTGGCATGGCCAGGCCTCCCACCTGCCAGCCCAGCTGTCCCTCTTGCTCACCATGTAATCCCTGCCAGGAAGAGAGGAGGGAACATGAGCCGGGCCTTCTCCCACTGCATCCTGATCCTGTCCTCCCTTCATCCAGGAGAGAGGGGAGGGAAGGGTAGGGACAGGACAGGGCAGGGCTGGGGAGAGCTCCCAGGCCCAGCCACCTCGGGCTGCTGCAGCAGCCTTCCCTCAGGAGCCTGCATGTGGGGGCTGCCCCGGCCTCCTCGGGCATCCGGACACCTGTGAGGCTGGTTCAGCCCAGCAGAGTCACTCCTTCCTCCCCTGAGGCTTTGCTTTCCCCTCTGCTAGTCTGGGAGGGCTCCTGCTGGGTATTTTAATTTTCATCTTAAAAAGACCATCTAGGAATAGGAAGTCGAAGTCCCAGTGTTCCCAGGCAAGTCAGAGCCTCAGCCTCCTCGTCTGTCACCCAGCAGCAATCACGCTCACTGCCGAGCCCAGAGGGCGAAATGAGATAATGTGGAGGGCGCCCTCAGCACATGGCTGGGCACAAGGTGGTCACGGCTCATGAGCAGCACCAGGCCCATCCCAGAACCTGGGACACAAGCACAGACCTGCACCACGCTGCTTACCTCATTCCCAGAGGCATCTCTGGCGTCCTGGACAGGAAGAGTAAGGACAGAAACAGCCCCTGTACATGCCCCTCACTCTGGGGTCTCAGGGACATCCCTGCTTACCTCATTCCCAGAGCATCTCTGGCGTCCTGGACGGGAAGAGTAAGGACAGAAACAGCCCCTGTACATGCCCCTCACTCTGGGGTCTCAGGGACATCAGCACGGTGGCGTGTGTGCCAAGTGTTGTGTGTGGGGGCTCTCTATGGCAGGGATTGTGCCGCTCGTTTGTGTTTTCTTAGAACAATCTGCCTCCTGGCACGTGATAGGTGTTCCTTTAAGGCAGTTGTGTGTGTGCGTGCGTGTGTGTATAACTAGACCATTTGAACTTTAGATCTCCCCCTGGTGCTGTGGCGTGTTGAAGGCGGCAGGGATTGTGCCGCTCGTTTGTGTTTTCTTAGAACAGTCTGCCTCCTGGCACGTGATAGGTGTTCCTTTAAGGCAGTTGTGTGTGTGCGTGCATGTGTGTATAACTAGACCATTTGAACTTTAGATCTCCCCCTGGTGCTGTGGCGTGTTGAAGGAATCCTTCCACTTCTCTGGGCCTTGGTTTTCTCATCTGAGGAATGGGTATATTGATTTCTGCTTGATGTGTCTATTCTAAATTCAGCACCTGGTCCACTGCATGGCACACAGGAAATAAGGGGTCCCTTGACATCCGTTCCTTTTCCCCCACTCAATGCAGAGATTTTCCTCAGGTTGCCTTGGGGTCCTGAGAAGAAGGGTGGGAACACAGGACAGGCACAGGGGAATGGGAACCCTGGCTTTCTACTAGACACTGATGTGCTCTGCAGACCAAGGTGGACAGGGTTGGGCTTCAGGTCAGCTGCACAAGGCTGCTGCTGGCCTCACTCTGCAGGTCCAGGAGAGTCAGGAAGGAGATCTTAGAGCACTCCAACCAGCCTGGCTTCTTCTCTCCCATCTCCCCATGGGGAAAAAGTGTCCAGGGCATCTCAAGTGCCATGACCGTGACCTCTCAGTGAGAGAGGTTGGGACTGGCCTTGTGTCCAAGGAGGACCCCTACCTCCCAGTGCTGCCCCTGGACCTGGGAAAAGCCTACTGGGTGCAAGGCTGCCTCTCCCCCCACCCTAGTTCCCTTGAGGGCGAGCTTCTGGCCCCTGGAGTGGCTATAGTGCAAGCAAGGCAGGGAGCTTGGCCTCGCACCGGGTTATCAGAGGCAGGCCGTGCCCGGGGCCGGGCCAGGCCCGGATCACAGTGGTGACAGCAACCAGCTTGTGGCAGGACAGTTTGCACTCCCCAGGTGGTCACTGAAAAGCCACCACTGAGGGAGGGGCCTCCGTGATGACATGGGCCTCTGGCCAAGGACTGACAGCCATCTGTTCCCAGCCACCAGCCCAGAGGCCTCCAGGGAGGGAGAAGACAGAGAGAAAAAGAGGGGGCAGAGAGTGAGAAATACAGAAACACGTAAACAGACAGACACAAAGAGACCCTCAGAGACAGAGAGATAAGCAGAGAGACTCAGAGACATAGGGATAGAGAGAGGAAGAAACAACCACAGAAAGGCAGAGGGAGAGACACAGAGAGAGGAAAGGCCACCCGGGTAGAAGAGATAAAGAGACATAGACAGAGAATTGGAGAAATAGAATGACAGAGAGACAGAAAGAGAAAGAGACAGAGACATAGGGAAAGAAACAGAAGGACAGGACAGTCAGGGAGAGACAAAGAAAGATGGAGAGAACTATAGAAACAGAGGAACAGAGAGAACTAAAGGAGAGAGAGAGAGACAGAGACAGAGACACACACACAGAGACAGACAGGGAGACAATAGAGAGAAAGAAAGAGCTAGGGAGACAGGGAGAGACAGAGGCAGAGAAATACCCTGAGACAGATGGAGAGCGGGCACGCTGGGCCGGCTGGGGTTGGAGTGCAGGTGGGTAGACAAAGCTGCTTCTGGGCAAGCTCTCCAGTGGAAGGAGAACCCTCGTGAACCCAAACCCTTTCAGTCCCAGACATTCAGAGGGAAGAAGTCACACCCGATCCCAGGCCTCTGGGTCTAGGATCCCTACAGTGGTTCTCAGATGTTGGTAGGCAGCACAATCACCTGAGGGGCACATTCAAATTCAAGTGCCCGGGCCCCATCCCGGAGTGTGATTCATTGGTCGGGGGGGG